AGATTGAAAAGCCCCACATTTACTTGCCAGTTTTACAGAGGGCCTATTCTTCCTTTTTATGGAAGGCAAGTTGAATGGTTTTGAATAATAACACAAAAGGTAACTTTTATAACATGAATCTATTGCTTACAAAATTTACACATTGCATGGAATTACTTAGCCAGAACCAATTTACATTAAAAATGCAATTTTTACACAAAGTAGACAGGCAATAAAGGAAACTGAACAATTTTGGAACAGTTAATCTCAATGATATAAAACAGTAATCGTATTCCTTGATAGCTTTCTGAAAATGCAAATCATTCAAAAGGATAGATTCCAACAGATATGTCTTCCTAAAGTAATGGTTATTTATACATGTAAATAATTGATCATACAGATGCAAGTGTCTTAATTAACCCGACATTTGCAGTAACAGCAGATTATGACTCTTAACAGATTTTGTCCTGAAGTGCTTATGTTTTTATCCCCTCCTCTATCATGTGAGAATCATGTGCATAAACATGGAGCACATAAACACAGGATAAAGCAGCAGTTGTGTTTTAATGCAGATAGATTGGTATTTTTCAGCATTATGCAAATTTGTCAGAGAAAATGATTTCTAGGAACACTTTGGGCACCACAACTACTTAATCCTAATTACGCTGTTATGGTGCCTGAAGGTTCTGTTCTCTATCTTACCTTAGGGACATATTATGTATTAAATGGCTTAATTTCAAAGTGGTTCAGACAGTACCAGTCATCCATCTCCATCCCCCGAGGGAGATTTTTCTAAATTGGTAGAGCGTGATAGGTGAAGAGCATTAGCTGACATTCACTGCTTTTCACCAACTCCTAGTCTGAGGATTCCACATTGAAGTCAGGATAGAGGAAAAGTTTCCAAGTCAAGTTGGCAGTTTCCATCTAGACTGTTGTATGGTTAAATCATTTGTAAATAGCTTAACCCTCAAGATAAGCTGTAGTCCAAGATTTCAAGGCAACAAAACAGCATAATTGAGATGAAGTTGTTATGGTGTTACTTAAAGTCAGAATTAAGGGTTTGATGATCTATTTGTTCTTCATTGCTTTTTAATGCATGTGGAATAGCATTTATATATAGTGGGTTTGTGAAGAAGGGGTTATTTACTGTACTGTGGTGGGTAGCATTCATGTTAGATGCAAGCTCATTTTTGTCTCTAGAAAAAAGGAAGACAATAGAAAATAGGTCTGAGAAAAAAACAAAAAACACCACACTAAATAATTATGGATATTCTACTCCAAAAATAGAGAAAACATTTTTTGGTTAATTAAAAAAAAAAAAAGTATATTCAATATTCAAGGGAATTTTTTCCACACCAACCTTCCATTTACCTCTTTTTAAAACTCTTTAATAGTTAGGTTGAAAACCTTGGGAAGAATTGATTGGGCTATTTCTGTTACAGAATACATTCTTATTTGCACTATCTGAACTTCAAGGTTCACCACTGATATTTTCCAATAAAGGGGGTACATAAAAATGGATTAACTTACCAACAATCCAGCAGCAAGGTCATAGCTCTGTTTCTTAATATTCATCTCCAAATCAATCTGATGAATTAGAGTATGTGCACGGCAAACCCTGTGCTTCCCCGCATTGCTTTTCATAGGAACCATTGAGTCCTTTGCTTCTCATTAAGAAGCATAGGTCACAGCACAATGAGAACAGGAAGAGAACCCTGCTTGCTGCCTGATTGACAACTGGAAAAGTACAGCTGTTTTTAAAAGTGTCAATATCTCTTAAAACCAGCAATTTATAAAGTGACAAAGCTAGGACACTATGTTAACCTTTAAAACACTTCACAACTTTGAAGTACATTTGAGATTTTACTCAAGATTTCAAGGGTTCTTTAACAAATGAGACCTAAACACCAGTGCAACTATAAAAAAAACAACCTCATAACATTACCTTATTAGACCTTGTTGTTAATTGCCTAGTATATCTAGAATTTCATATATTTTTTGAAAGTTGTAGAATATATAGTGCAATGACTGAATTATGGCAATGAATTTCAATATATCACGGACTGAGACTTTTACCAAATAAGTTTTCTGATGACAGCTTAATACATTAATTAAAATAAAGTTGTGTAGAAAATTTTAATTTATAGCTGAAAAAACAACAACAAATTTTTGTGGCCATATAAAATAATAAGTTGAAATATATAATTTCATCTAAAATTTCTGTATTTTTCTTTTCATTCTAAATGCATATAAGTAAAAATATAAGTGTAGAAACTTTGCTAAAATATATTTAGAAATGTGTCATTACAAAAGATTTGAAATCTATGTTAGGTGAACAGGAACTTTACAAAATTAGATATTATCTTGTCTGATAATTACACCTACTTACTGTCACGATTCGGGGAACCTAACACGCTGACACACACACACACACAGAGAAAAGGTGCCGTACCGGACCTTAGAGTGGCCGGGCTAAGCACGCTAAGAATAGTCAGGAGACAAGCCAGGTAAAGGGAGCCAGAAAACGGGAGAACGAGAAACAAGCCGAGGTCAAAGGAGTGGAGAAGACAGGATAATCGGAATAACGAGCCAAATAATCAGTAACCAGAGAGCAAGACGAGAACACTACGCTACAGGTATCACAAGACCACAACAGGGCACTGAGGGACAGGAAAGGTAAGTATAAATACCCTAGGTTTAATTCTGATTGGATAACTTCCAATCAGAATTAACAATCACACGTGGGGGATATCTATACCCCCCACTGTGATTGTGGTACTGTTTCTTTAACGCCGGGTCACTCACGTGACCCCGGCGTTTACTTAACTCCTGGACCTCCCAGCATGCAGCGTTATACATGCTGCCGCTGGGGGGCGTGGAGGACGCTGGCGGCGAGCGGCACAGAGGAGACGCCGCTCGCCGACAGGTAAGCAGAGAGGAGACCGCGGGCGGCGATGGACTGAGGGTGAGTGCTGCAAGTGGCGTGCAGCCTCCCCTCCTCGACGCCCGCGGCTCCCTGACACTTACTGAGTGATACAGTATCTCCACAGAGGTGGTTGGATATGTTACTTGATAATCATACATTATACAGCTCACAGACTGCAATAAAACCTCACACAGTTTGGTTAGTAAAATGTAATAAGAAATACATTAAAGTAAAATATTTCTTATATGAAAAAATTGGTGAAATCAATGTCCCATGTAGAGTTGGAATCAGGCTTACTGTAAATTTATCAACATTTTTATACACACCTAAAGGTAAAGCACTGCATTAATAATACAATGCTTGGATTTTTAGTTGTACATTCTAAAAAAATATAATACAAACCGTTGAATTGTATTTATAGTTTTAAATATAAAAATATGTAATGATGTAATTCAGCTCAAACAAATAGTATTACCACTGACATTATTAATGACATTGATCATAGGACATAGTTCTACATTTATTTTTTTCATGATCTAATCATAATGATGAAAATATTATTTTGTAGTTTTGTGACAAATGTATAATTTACTCCTCATTACCTTAAAACATATACTGTATTCACTTTGTCATAACTGATATTTGCTATTGTGAAGACTAAAAAAGTGTTTTTTCCTACTTTTTATTCATTTACGGAACTCATATCATATAGAGAGCACTATTCTGCTTTTTATTTCCCTTTTTTGGTTTCCTGGCTCCCATTTTGTTGTGAAGTCTACCTGTTACATCCTCATACCATCACTACTAGATATTGCTGTTGTGTGCTGGTACTATGCTGTGGACCAGACTATAGGAACCCTGGTGGGTATTATACCACCTACATTTAATTCATAGAGTGGTCTGTCTGCTCTTTAAGGTGTGAATACTTCTTCTTATTGTGTTTTCTTTTGCTTGGTCCATACAGAGAGCACTATTGTCACTATTGTCACTATTCCCTGGCTTTCACTTTGCTGTAGTATAACCATCACATATCTCCAGATCTAAATAATCTGCTGTGCTGCTATATCTAAGAAAATACCTTTCTCTATATATTGCTACCTTACCTTATGTTCCTACTTTAAAAGGACATTATCAGGTCTTACTGTGATTTTATTTATTGTTGATATTATCTTGCTTTCAATACATATTGTTTTCTGGCAAGTCCTGTTTTTTTGTGTTTTTTTTGTAATTGTGACGCTGTATTTACACATTTAGAATGTTGGGATACATTACAAAAAGCATAGTGTCTGTATATTTGAACCCCTTAAGGACCAAGGCTCTTTAAATGCAAAACATTTGTGACCAAGGCTTTTTTGGCAATTTTGCCTTGCATTCATTTTACCACGATTTCACCCTTTGTGTTTAAGTGCACCCATATATATTATATATACTTTTTAAAGGAAGACATAGGGCTTTACACCCTATATGTATACATAACACTTTAGTAATTATAAATCAAATACTAAAAAGTGGAAACCCCGCCCACACATTTTCAACACAACAAGTGCAGCCAAAGAAAACTAACTCAAATTAGATTCTCTAATTAGTTCTGATTGTTAAAATTTCCATTATGTTTAGGCTTTCTTCCTAGCTTTCTAACTATTAAAATATTTAAATTTTGTGGTGTGGCCATGACTCAAGTGGTGCTAGACACACGAGGGATTTGCTCCATCGTCACACAAAACAAATAGCATGATTCCACAGCACAATACCGGCTACCACAAATTCGATAGCCACCCTAAACCAAGAGATAGTAAGCAAGCAAAATGGCCCACACACAAAGGCAGAAGGCCAACTTATAGATTACAGCCCTGTCACCACCGAGCCGCCAGAGCCAAGATGCCGTCAGAGCCACGCACTCGCCTACCTCGGAATCTGAAACCAGTAATGTCTCCTCAGTGTCCTGGCAACCTTGCATTCCACAAGCTGAAGGGACATAAAGCTCCTAAAAGTGGATCTCAAGCATACTATTAGGGTGGATTTTCAAAAACTGACCACAGATATCATGAGAGATGTGCAAGCTATAGGCTACCAGACAGCTCATTTGGAGGACAAAATGGACGCGGTCATTGAGGCACACAGCACCCTGGCTGATGCATATACTATCTTCCAATCCCAACTGCAACAGATGGAAATGAAAATGGTGGACCTTGAGGACTGGGCCCGAAGGAACAACATCAGGCTGCATGGCATACCCGAGGACATAAAGGCACCTGAAATTAAAGAATACACCACACAACTGGTCTCCTACCAGAGGCAAAAGACCCAGAATTGCACCTGGATAGAGTACACAGGCTAGCGAAACCGTGGAATATACCAGCAGCGGTACCCAGGGACATGCCTATTCGGTGGAAGCCAACACCAGATTTCCATGGAATTTGGGCAATTATATGTATGTTCTAATTCATTTATATCTAATTTGTTTTTCTGTCTTCTTTACTTCTCAAATTCCTTATTGGGTGAACTAACTTCAAATTACTCGAAAAGACCTTTCATTTTTGGAGAGTGGAGGAAGGCATGGAAACAACACAATGTATGGGCTATCAAACGTAACTTATGGGGGATTATCACCAAATAGTGGTCAGCATGAGGAATTGATAAGCATCGAAGCTAAGAGGAATCATATCCAAAAATGGTATTAACATTCCTTTCATTAAATATTAAGGGTCTCAACTCTCCCCACAAGCGGAGACTGGCACTAGAGGAATTAAAAAAAGCTAAGGCCCAAGTTGCCTTCTTTCAAGAAACCCACTTCCAGTTGGGTAAGAGGCCTAAATTTAATTCCCCCCTTTATCCGGTAGATTTCCACTCATGCTTCGCAAAGAAGAGGAGAGGGGTCTCCATCCTTATTAGCAAGGACGTGGCATCTAAACTCATTAATAAACATGTAGACAAACCAGGTAAATTTTTAATAATACAATGCTACCTGAATAACGCTCCATACACATTGGTCAATGTGTATGGACCTCAAACTAATCAAGTAGCTTTCCATACCAAGATTTTCAAAAAACTGGACAAATGGAGACTGGAAGAGGTGATAATGGGAGGAGACACCAATTTTCTTTTAGACACCCAGCTGGATACATCAGCAAAAGTGACGATAACAGCATCTACCAAAACTAGTTGAGCAGCCATAGTAAGAGGAATTAACCAAATCCTTTTAGAGCAAGGGTTTATAGATCCATGGAGGGTCACTCACCCCCAAGAAAGAGACTTCTCATTCCACTCCCTTGTACACAACTTGTACTCGGATAGACCAGTTCCTGATACCTACCTCGCTACTAAGCAATGTGGTCTACACTACAATAGACATCATGCCCCAATAATACTCTACATAAACGAACAATTCCCAGCTAAGGGCAAAGGCTCATGGCGACTAATGAACACTTACTTACAGACCCTGTGATTTTGAAGGATGTTTGCACAAAACTCACAACCTATTTCAAATTAAATAAACACCCAGAAACATCAATAGAAAACATATGGCTAGCACACAAGGCATTTATTAGAGGGGTATTTATTAAACATGCTTGTAGAGTTAAGAAAGAGTGTCTCACTAATTTCTTAAATCTCCTTAAACGACTTACTGAATAAAACATGCTGAACAAAACTGATCCCCGAGCTAAACATCTCCAAGAGATTAAGAATATTATAAACGAATTGCAAGAATTAGAACTAGTCAAAACAAATTTTTTGTTGAGGAGACTCAAAATCTTTTGTGCAAGGCAATAGGGCAGGAACACTTATGGCAGCCAGGCTTGAAAAGAGAAATCTAGCCACTAAGATAGTACATATTTATAACTAAGAGGGCCAAAAAATTGTTAATCCCGACCTAATACACAAACTCTATAACCTCAAAGATGAACTTCACATGGCACAACGAACAAAACAACAAATACAGGATTTTCGAAAAAATTCCGTTAAGATTTATACCCAAATCAAAAATTTCCGAACTAATTCAGCCAATCTCTGCAGAGGAAATACACCACCTCCTTCACCTTGTACCAAACACCAAACCACCAGGACCAGATGGTCTCTCGGCCATCTATTAAAAAACATTCCCAAATGAACTTGTACCGCATCTGCTATCTTTATTTAATCACAGCTTCAAATAAGGCACACTACTGAAAGAAATGTTACGCACTCATATTGTTAAATTACCGAAACTCGGAAAAAAGCAAACTGTCTGTGCCAATTTTTGCACCATATCCCTTTTAAACCTAGACACTAAACTCTATGCAACAATTCTGGAACTCATAATTAAGGACCTGCTCCCTAACCTAATTCATTAAAACCAATCAGGAGTTATCTAAGGGCAAAAAGACTCAGATAACTCCAGACTCCTATTTAACATAACAGAACATCTTAATAACAAGTCAGACACAGGCTTATCACTGGCTTTAGATGCAGAGAAAAAGCTTTTGATAGGCTCAATTGGCTTTATATGCAATCTGTTCTAGAAAAATGTGGATTTCCGCCAGCGTTTATTCAAGCAATAATGGCCCTGTGCATTCTCCCAGAAGCTATTGTTACCCATGCAGGATTTATATGCCCATCATTCTCAATTACGAATGGAACTAGGCAGGGGTGCCCCTCTCCCCACTACTTTTTATCCTGAATATTCATGGGGTTAATATAAATGGTCACAGTCATGAACTGTCACTGTTTGCAGATGGCATGATGTTGACATTAACACAACCAAATATCTCCCTTCTTAATCTTATGCCACTATGTAATGGTATTTATTAATTAATGACTTTACATCATAAAGAAAGCATATTTAGTGTAATGCTTTGGGGGCACCACTAGGGGGAGTGTGTAGGAAGACATGTGCTTCTGGCAGTGACATCACAGGCCAGCCTACTTACACTGAATAAAACCAGATGGAGGAGAAAACTCTGGCTCTTTGCCTCTTTGCCTGTACCTGAAAGATGTAGTAGCAGCTCTGACTTAACCCCAGCCAAAGGGCTGGGGCCTTGTAAGTAAAATGTTGTGTAACATGTAGCAACCTTTTGTAAGTATTATGTTGTAGTTTTGTATTGTATCATAATTGTAGTAAATTGACATTCTGCTAGCATCTGTTTATTTGTTATAGTTATATTAAATATACATTTAATATTACAACGTTTTGTGTATTTTCTATCCACATATTCGACCATAATACCATGAATTATAAAAATATTAATGTTGTTCCGTATTGCTTAATTATTATGTATTAAGAGATTAATATTCATATTTAGGTCACACCACAACATTTGGCGTAGTCGGCAGGATTATGCTTGAATATTGGGGAAAATATAAATGTTATGCATTTTGCTTAAATCATACTGTAAATTGTCTGTCTGTATACAAATGAATAAATGAATGATGATTTGGTTTTAATGGAATGAATGCAGATAGCAGATAGGGATTAGATATTTGTTTTTTAAGGTATCTCTTGTTGTAGAACATAGTGATGAATTATTGTGTTGCTTGTTACGTTTTACCAACCTTTGGTCATTTTTTATTTATAAAACAAAAAACAATTTTACTTTTTGTCTGACCATGTGGATTTTAATCCACCATTGACCACATGGTGTGAATGAGTTGAGGCCTAGTTTCATTGTTTGCTACCATTTGCATAGGAAAAGACTTTTCACTAAACTAGTTCACCAGGTTTTATTGCTAAATTTGACCCTGTTTGTGTACTAATTTACATTTGTTTGGCATTCATGGATTTGTCTAGTTGAAAAGAGATTTGGACAAAATGTATTAAATTAGTAGTTAAGAAAAAGATACGTTTAGTAAAGCAGATTCAGTGAATAATAGATTTATGTGTGCGTATACACAGAATATTAGTATAAATATATATGATTTTGACTCATGAAGGAGAGACCACCTTTTTAACAGCTGTGTGACCATGCTTTTCAGCTACAGCTGGGGGAGAATTTGTCCTTGTTGGGGGTGGGTAGTCTTGCCTGTATGAGAAAAAATAAACTGCATTGTTTTGTAAATGTAATTGCCTAAGCTAATCAATTTGTGGAGTGTTTTTCAGCTTTATTATCCAGGACTAAGGAATTACTGGACATATGCAGGAACTGGTAACAAATGAACTGAAAAAATGGTAAAATAATTCCTTTGTCCAATTTAGTCTGAATATTTTAACAAGTTAGCATTTTTAACAAAGTAAGTGTAGGGGCTCAGATTAAGATTTATATTATTTTAGAAGCCATCTATAACTGATTTTAATATTTCCATGCTTTGAATTAGGGTGTATCTGCCTAGCGGGTGAACCTCCATAACGTGGGCTGTGATTTTAGTTACAGTAGCGGGTGGGGAACCTGAGCTAGGGGGTATTTAAACGTGTCCGGATAAGGGGGAGCATACCCAATAGTTGTTGTGCAGTTCTATCCTGTATTATTATTTGAAACCCTGTATTACTTATAAGTAGCGTTTTGTAACTTATTTGTAATTGTTTATATATATTGCTCTGGGAAAGGGATAGGCAAAATCTCTGAGAGACCAGGAAATATATTTTAAAAAAAGGGCGTATTACACTAGTGGTAGGGTGGCCTATCATGACCATAGAGACCCTTGGTGACTAGTTTTTGTTGTATATTGCCCTGGGAAGGGGATACGCTATTTAATAGAAATTCCTGAGAGACCAGGAAATATACAATAAGTGATACGTGAGTGTACTGGTTAAATTGCAGACATATTGGCCCAGAACCTTTAATCAAGCCGGAAAAGAGGCTGCTGTATGTTTGCTCCTCTATAATTTTGCGGGGGCGGTCACCCCCATGCGGAAAGCCACTGCCATCACAGGGTGGTTAGTTGTGCAGGCCCTTAGCCGCGAGGTGCAAGCATGTCCGTGGAAAGGCTAGAAATTAATAGGGAGTCACTCATAGCTGTCAGAAGTGTTGAACTTTGAGACATATTGACCTATATCCTTTCAGAGGCGGAAGAGGTGTTGTGGTTCACTCCTCTATAATTTAACCAAAGGGTGGAGAGTTATTAAACATGTTTAGGTTGGCTAGAAATGTGTTTCCTGAATTGCAGAGAAGATGCAGAAAGCAGCTATTAGCTGATTGTTTATTTTAAGAGCCAAGTAGAAAATTAAGAAAGTTACCTTGTTGAACAAATTGTTTATAAAATGAAAAGTTTAGGGAATGTATTTATATGTGTATATATGTATATATGCTAAGTAAAGGATTTGGCAGTATACGCTATAAGTGACAAGGAAAAGTAATCCTGATCTGTTTTCTTACCTTTTTCAGATATAGCAGAAACCAGGGGTGGACATTGGAACACAGATAGAATATCAGATGGAGACCAGTGTTTAAATGTTGACCTTTGATGAGCTATTGAATGTTTTATTTTATTGTCTATTTAACATGTCTATGCTATGATTTTGTGCATACTGTTCTCTTATTTCTAGTGATTGTATTGCAATTGAAACCCTTATGTATTATTATTGTTGTATGTATGCTTGCCTGGGAAAGGGGGGAATTGACCCATAGGGACCAGGGGGTATTTTTGTGTAAACCAAACTGGGGTGGGAGGGCTCTAACGAGGGAACCCCATTGTCCAGTAGGTGCTTGATTTGTGTCTGTGTAAAGTGCATGAGTGGTTGCAGTTCAAAAAAAACAAAAAACGGAAGTATGATAAGAGGGATAAGAGAAAGTAGGCATTTTGGGTTATCTATACATGTTTAAATAGAAGGGTGGTAAATAGGAATGTAATTGTTTTGGTTAATGTTTAGATTAAATTGGTTAAATACAGCAGTGATAACGAGTGTTTAGATTAAATTGGTATGCAGCAGTAATAACGAGTGTTTGGGTTAAATTGGTAGATACAGCAGTGATATTGTGTTTATCTGTGAATCAGGAGTGTGCTGGATGTGAAGAGAGGTGTGTAGGTATTTATCCAAACGCCATAGGAAAAAATATGGTTAAGACACCACAGTCAAATGGTACTTGTGATGATTGGCACAGTTATTATTTATGTTTGTGTTCGTCATTGCCTGTGTTTTCATTCAAGAACTTTCAAGCAAGGATATTTTAAGCTGAAGAAGAAGAAGCACTGGACACTATGCTCAACTGTTGCTGTAAGGAGAAAAAATATTGCAGCTAAGAGTGGTGAGAGTTGGAACAAATGCATCAGGAGCAGGACACTGTTACGTCAAGGTGGCTAATGGTATAAAGAAAGAAAAAACAAAACAATGTGACCACAAACACACAAAAGTCCTTGATCACAAGAACTGTTTCATTCATCCCTGTCTCCATGCGTATGTTCTATGAGACTGTCGAAGAATAGAGTATCCAGTTTCCAGGACTAATGTTTGTGAAAATTCCAGGCACACAGACCAGCCAGAGGCTACAGAAATCGAGTCGGTCTGTGCCATGATTCATAGGTGTTATGAGTTTGTGGTGTCTAATACTATATTAAGCTCCAAAACACATCCTCACATGAATACAATATCATTGGTTAATCTAATAAAACATGGTTTGAGTTGTTCATTATTATAAGGGTGGGTATGTGCCTATTTCCCAACTGGTAATGCATGTGCTCAATGGTGAACATTTATATAAGCAATAAAATGTTAATGGGTAATAATTAATGGGTAAATGGGTATCGTTCTTCAAAAGGTGGGTTTTGTTGTAGGGCAGGTAGTGTTAAAATGGGGAAGATTCACAATTTACTGGTTTTATAAATGCTTGTTTTATGACATAAGTCAAAGGGTGGTTTGTAATGGTATTTATTAATTAATGACTTTACATCATAAAGAAAGCATATTTAGTGTAATGCTTTGGGGGCACCACTAGGGGGAGTGTGTAGGAAGACATGTGCTTCTGGCAGTGACATCACAGGCCAGCCTACTTACACTGAATAAAACCAGATGGAGGAGAAAACTCTGGCTCTTTGCCTCTTTGCCTGTACCTGAAAGATGTAGTAGCAGCTCTGACTTAACCCCAGCCAAAGGGCTGGGGCCTTGTAAGTAAAATGTTGTGTAACATGTAGCAACCTTTTGTAAGTATTATGTTGTAGTTTTGTATTGTATCATAATTGTAGTAAATTGACATTCTGCTAGCATCTGTTTATTTGTTATAGTTATATTAAATATACATTTAATATTACAACGTTTTGTGTATTTTCTATCCACATATTCGACCATAATACCATGAATTATAAAAATATTAATGTTGTTCCGTATTGCTTAATTATTATGTATTAAGAGATTAATATTCATATTTAGGTCACACCACAACACACTACTAGAAACTTTTGGTTCCATCTCCTTCTAGACACTTAACACAGCTAAAACACAGGCTCTACCAATTAAAATCCCAAGCAACAAAGTCAAAGCAAAGAGAGAAACCTTTAATTTTGATTGGAGAATGGAATCGGTGACTTATATAGGGATGCGAGTCACAAAATCTTTATATACACGATACAAACACAAATTAAGTTCCCTTGCTGGAGACAATTCACAGGGAATTGGATACCTGGAATGATGCCATGATCTCATGGGTGGGATGTATCAATGCACTAAAAATTATGTCCCTACCGAAGCTCCTTTACCTTTTCCACATGTTACCTATTGAAATTCCCTTAGCTTTTTGTAATAAAGCTCAATCCATCATCGCCAAATTTATTTAGGGTAACAAAAGAGCGAGAATAGCAAAAACACTGAACAGACCTTTGAAACTGGGGAGCATGGGGGTGCCTCATATAGCAAGCTAGAGAGTGGCTGCCTTAGTAGCACAGGCTGTTAACCTACATGCAACTAGAGAGCAATTACTCTGGGTAGACATGGAGCGTACACACTTCTGGCACATATGTGGACCCTACCTCTTAGACATGAAAAAACTATTACTCTTTTTCACACAATGAAAACAAGGGTTCAGGCCTGGGACAAAACTAGATCCTTACTCCTCAACCCCTTTAAATTTCACAGATTAGCCCTGCTGAAAACCCTGCTCACAGTTTCCCCCTGGCTCACGGTGATCCCGTGGGAACAGGTGAGTATCACTACAATTTCTCAATTCCTAGTAGGCAACAAAATAATCCCATTTGCAGATCTGCAATGACCATATGACCTATCTCCTAGACTTCCTATCCGATACCTGCAAATTAAAAGCATACTACTAGACCACCTTGACAGGCCAAATGAGGAAGACTCTTTAAACAAAAAGTACAAATGAGGCTTGCTAGCCACGTGCTGGACAACCCCCTTGAACCCAAATTGTTATCTTTATGCTATTGTTCTGTATCTAACCACTCAGAAGTCCAATCTCTCCTGTTTATGATTCAATGGGAATAGGAAATTGGGAAAAATGGGTTAAATTGATGAATGCTTTGATGGGACAGATCACATGTTTTTCGCACACGGAAGCTCACAAGAAGCTAATGTACAGGAGGTATCTGACCACAGATAAACTTCACACAATTTACCCTGAAACATTTGAAAACTGCTGAAGGTGTCACAACGCTAAGGGGACCATGCTCCATATCTGGTGGGGATGCACTCTAATACAACCATTATGGCAAACAGTTCCAAAACATGGGCAACACACTCACACCCACATTTGAAACATATCTATGGCTAGACTTATCCCCACACTGGCCATTTTGTGATAAGGCATTAGTCTCACAAGTGATTCTGGTGGCTAGGGCCATCATTGCACTCAACTGGAAATCAAGCACATGCCCTTCTGAATTGAGCTTGATAGATAAAATAAAGTTAAACTATATGTATGAATTAGCTTCAGCAGTAACACTGAACCAAAAAACGTAAGATCACACAAATATGGGAACCATGGGGCACCCTATTCACATTCAATCCTCCATAGTAACCATAAAAAACAAACAAAAGAAACATACCAATTAGAGATGATCAACTTCTAACTTTCAAAATCTGACCATAGGTATGCTTATAGTAATTAAAAATTGGGATAACTATAAAAACACCCCCACCAGCGTGAACAATAACACCATTGACTGACACATCAAGCTAATATCTTCTTCATTCTATTTTTCACCCCCTCGCTTTCTTTCTTTATTTCTTAGACCTATCGTTACCTTTCTAGCTAGTCAATTTCTGGTTGAAGTTGCAGGGTGCAAGAGAAATACCACAAATAAAGAGAAGGGACTATACAAAGAGATGGACAACAGTAGCAGAGGAACTACATTTAACCCACAAGGGGAGACGGGGAAAGTATGCTGAGAGTAGATGAGTAACCACTATACTAGAATAAGGATATTTCAGCTTTAACTGAGGAGAATGTGTTCTACGGAGGAGATAGCATGTGTTCTAGGAAAGTCGGTTATCTCATAGAAACATAGAATGTGACGACAGATAAGAACCTTCGGCCCATTTAGTCTGCCCAATTTTCTAAATACTTTTATTAGTCCCTGGCCATATCTTATCGTTAGGATAGCCTTATGCCTATCCCACACATGCTTAACCCCTTAAGGACCGGACTGTTTTTGCGATGTTGTACATTTGCGACCAGGCATCTTTTTACACTTTTGTGGTGTTTGTCTTTTCCACTATCTCATTTACTGTTTCAGGACAAAAAGGGCTTTCTTTACATACCATTATTTATATAATCTCATGTAATTTAATTTAAAAAAAAATGAAAAAATATGATGAAACATTGAAAAAAATACATGTTTTTTTACTTTTACTTGAAAAATCTTTTACTCATCTACAAAAGCGAATGAAAAGAAACTGCTAAATAGATTAAAAATTTTGTCCTGAGTTTAAAAATACCCAGTGTTTATGTGCTTTATGCAATTTTTTTGCATGTTATAGGGCTATAAGTACAAGTAGGATATTGTGGTTTCAAAACATACATTTTTAAAATGTGTCAATAGTGACATTGTAACACCCCATATGTACATATTTTTTTTTAAAGTAGACAACCCAGGTGTGACGAAGTGCCCAATGTAACGGAGCTCCCTGTACTCCGACTGAGTACCCTCCGTTGACGGATGCTCCTAGCGCTTCCTGAGGACTCCAAGCACTGCAGCAGACACCACAACCACCGCAGACTCCGCAACCGCCGTATCTTGACTGGAGTCTCGCCGTCTTCCTTCCACCCTGGATCAGCTTCTGTCCTCCAGGACTGTGTGGGAAAGAACTCTTCCTTCCACCCTGTATGAACCTCCAGCATCCAGGACAGTGTGGTGAAAACCCCTCCTCCAAGGAGAGCGTGTCAGGAACAAGCTCTTAAAAGAGCTAAGTGACTCAAGCTCAGGGGAGCATGCAGAGCATAGCAATCCCCAATGTGATTATAACAGCTCCCTCCAATAACGAGACAAGGCTACGTTTAGAGGGATCAAGAAGAACTGTCAAAACCTTTATACCCTTGGGACCAGCCAATAGGGTCACCACAATAACATTGTTGTGAAACCTCAATAAAATCACAAACAGTCAACCATATCAAGCAACACACAGTGACTTATCACAACACAATGGCACATTTTTAAAGGGGTGGAGGGAGACAATATTTAACAGTAAATATCTCACCTGCCTGCAGAATTAGCAATATGCAAATCTACCCGAATATGCAAATGAACCAGTCTTGCAATTCAGGTAGTGCATATTGCTGTTGCTACCAACAGAGGGCACTAGACAAGCTCCATAGCCAAACCCACCTAGTTGGTAGCAAACCTCAGCAGTACAGGAGAGAAGGCAATACATTTCACAGTACACACACACACTATAAACAATTACATTACACACACCCTGCACCTATAATGGGTACAGGGTGACTCGACTAACTTAGGCACTGACCAACAGAAAGTCAGGTGCCTGGTTAGTCTTCTCCCCGAAGGGGAGATATGTGACGAAGTGCCCTTCGCCACTTGGTCCTGGAGAGGCTGACTTGCCAGCCTCCTCCCCTGTGACTATGACTCTTTTATGTATCTGGCTTTAAAGCCCCTAGTCTACCTTCAGACAGACTATTTATGTAGGCTGCTTTATTTATCTTATGTTTTAGTCACCCTGTACCCATTATAGGTGCAGGGTGTGTGTAATGTAATTGTTTATAGTGTGTGTGTGTACTGTGAAATGTATTGCCTTCTCTCCTGTACTGCTGAGGTTTGCTACCAACTAGGTGGGTTTGGCTATGGAGCTTGTCTAGTGCCCTCTGTTGGTAGCAACAGCAATATGCACTCCAGGACCAAGTGGCGAAGGGCACTTCGTCACACCAGGGTATTCAAAATGGAGTATGTCCAGACATTTTTAGTAGCCACTTAGTCCAAAGTTAGCATTCATATTTGTTTGCGTGTGAAAAAAGTAAAAAAACTAAATTGAACGCTAATTTTGGCCAGTGTTTGTGACTAAGTGGTTGCTAAAAAAGACTGGACATACCCCATTTGCAATACCTTCAGTTGTCTTCTTTTGCAAATGGTATGTCATCATAGGGGTAATTCTCATTCC